AGAAACGCTGTGGCCAGCAGGAGTAGGGAAGTGATCATATTCCTGTGCTCAGTCACTGCTGAGGCCGCACCTTGAACACCGAGTTGAGCTCTGGGCTCCTCACCACGAGGAGGACATGGAGGTGCTGGAACAGGTCCAAAGAAGGGCAACAAAGCTGGGGAATGGTCTAGAGAACAAGTTGTATGAGAAGCAGTTGAGGGAACTGAGGTTTTTTAGCCTGGAGAAAAGGAGACTCAAGAGGACACCTTATCGCTCTCTTCACCACGGTAAACAGACAAGAGCTCTTCCAGATGAGCTCATATTTCTTCCCAAGAGTAGAAGCTTAGTAAAGCTGGCCAACAAAATTAGATACTTGGGCTGTATAAACAGTCCCTTAGATTCAACTTCTTTTAGCTCATGCTCAAGAAAGTTAATCTTTTAGTTGATATGAAGAAGAAGGTATCAATTACCCTTTTGTGAGATTGTTTAAAGCCTATGTAGCCTACACTCACTTATATCTATTTTTGAGTAAAAGGAACTTATCATACCATAGAGCAAAGCGATAGCCTCTTCTTTTCCCTCTCCTTGTTCTACATGTGTGTAACAAAAGAGTCTCCAACCTCTCAATGCCTCCAACCAAAGAGAAAATGAATTTCACTGAAACTGGAATTCAAGATGTAGCTGTTTGTGTGATGCGTGAACAGAAACATATTTAAGTAGCCCGTTTTCCCAATCAAAACAAATAGCAGTTACGATTTGGAATACGTAGATTGACATCCCAAACTATATCACATCTTTGTGAATGTTGCTTAATTATGTGACATAACAAGGACTTGTCTCAGCTTCTTTAAATAAACTAGCTAACAAAAAGCAGCTCATCCTGATGTGACACTGTGACAAAAAGTAGCAACTGAAAGCGGTGTTTGTCACTTTTACAGCCTACAACTCTGATTAAAAAAAGTAGTCACTGATCCTGAGTTTGCAGAATGTATACCTAGATTGTTTACTGTTTGTACAATAGCCTAACTTAATCTGCAGATGGCCTGTTTTTATTAGGTTAACCTTTTTAGTAGTAGTAGTATTAGTATTTTAAACAGTTTACATGATAAAAGTACGACAATCTGTAGCAGTGGAACAAGATATTTCATTTTTATATCATGGATCTACACAGACCAGAAAAAGTCCTCCGCTATTTCCAGATTCAGACCTAACACTTGGTCTCAGGCAGCAGAGCAGCTTTACTTAAACATGCTCAGTTAAAACCTCTTCCCAGTACCATTTTCCCCATTCCCTCCCTCAAAACTGACAGGATCAGCTTTTGGTTTGCATCAAGTGAATCACTTCTCCCTTGGTGCCACTGTGGCAGCGTATCTGCAGCTCCATCACTTTTTCAAATCCTACAGCAAAAGGAGACAGCTCTTCATCAGTCTCTCTGCTGAGGACCAAGTTTCAGTTGCATAATAAGCAGAGACTCTCATGACATAATGGGGCTTTCATGCATGACATGACTGAAGTGAAACTTGAAAAAATAAAAAAGATAATGATGTATTTGCCCCTGTCTGGATGTGGAGGAAATTTGGCTCAGAAAATAAGAAAACTGCATAAATAATCCGAAAGACTTAAAAGAGTTAAAATGGTATCTTTCTAACTCTTAAGATGATTTCTAGTTAACATATGGAATCTTTACAGTAATAGCTCCTGTCCTGTGCAAAAAGTCAGATACATGGGGAAACACAACAGCCTATTTTTATCAAAGAAATATTAGCAATATCAAAATTCAGCTTTATGCAGCATTTATGCAGCATTTAAAGGCTTTTAAAGTAGAATAAGTAACCGCTTTCAGCCTGGAAGGTATTATTGAAAGGTCCCCAGCTTCAAAATCAGTGGCTATTTTAACTCCTCTATTTTATACCTATGAATAGAAAAAAACTGCCTATGTACTACTTCAGTTTCAGAACATCTAAGAATTTGCTGCTTATACTATCTTCAAATTTTTAGGTACTCAAACTCCTTAATAAGTATCTACAGTAATATATCCCAGAAGCCTGTATGAATTGACAAATAATCTGAATAAACACAAACGACAGAACATGCTAACAATTTTAAGATCACCTGGCTTCTTAAAATTCTATGTACTCTTACATCTAACATCACTTTAGTCCATCATTCACTTGTTTCCTAAGCAGAATTAGTAAAAAAAACCCCCAAAACTTCTGTTCCTACTGGTTCAATGTGAAAAAAAAAACCAAGCAACAAAACTTACACAGCACAACATTAATCTTTCCTTCATTTATAATAGCTGGCTAGCTAACCTCACTTCAGCCATTTAGCAATCCTGCTATGAAACAGCTGCTAATACTGAAAAAAGTCCAAACTGGCAGCAGCATTCACAGACCACTGGGAATACAGAGCATTTTAAGGAGATGTTTCTACAGCTCACAGTCGTTATCCTCTGAATCATTTCATTTAGGTTGTTGTTTTTGTTTCTTTTTTTCAAGACTCTACCTTAAAGCCTCCAATCAGGATTATGTTGCTAAAGCATAAGTATCAGAAAGTCTTGCTTTTCTCTGGATTTTCCCATGGAGAACTTCCTGTTCCTCTAGACCAATCCACACTTAAAAACTCTTTTTTCCAGTCTTTTAGTGCTGCTGAATCCGATTCAAAAGGGGCCCATCTGCTCCAGCTACATCATTAGGAGATTTCTGCACTTTCACACAGCTGCTGAGGTTTCTGTCCACATGCAGAAGCTGGAATGATGTAAAGGAACTGCTGGATCCAAAAAAATTTAGTGTGATTATTTCTATACTGACTATTTCTATAATGTAAACTCTCTTTTCACAGAATCACAGAATGTCAGGAGTTGGAAGGGACCTCAAAAGCTCCCCCAGTCCAACCCCTGCCAGAGCAGGATCACCAGACCAGGTCACACAGGAACACGGCCAGGCGGGGTTTGAATGTCTGCAGAGAAGGAGACTCCCCAGCCTCTCTGGGCAGCCTGGGCCATGCTCTGGCACCCTCACAGTGAAAAAGCTTTTCCTTATGTTCAGGTTGAACCTCCTGTGCTCCAGCTTGCTCCCACTGCCCCTTGTCCTGTCCTTGGACATCACAGAGAAGAGCCTGGCTCCTTCCTCCTGACACTCGCTCTTTACAAATTCATAAATTAATGAGGTCCTCACATTTTGCAGAGTTTGAATCGGTTTCCATATAATAAAATGCACTGTAACACTTGACAGCACAATTGTCCAATGAAAATAAAAAAAAATCCGATCAAAGATGCTAATCTTACTATAAATTCCATGAAGCAGTTCAAAAACCCTGAAGGGATAATAGTTTCTATTAAATTCTAGCAATGGCCGGAGCAGTTTTTTCAGGACTCTTAATATTTCCTTAGAATTTAAGTGACTTAACCTCCATTAAATTCTGTAGATTGAAAAGCAACTACCTGCAAGTACACTTCAGAAGATCACATATAACAACCCAAATTGAAAATTACATGTCAGTATGCATGCCACTGTTAACCTGCAACATGCTCTGAAGATGGATTCTCTGTAAGAACTTAGAAGCCCCAGCTTGACCTGAGTGCAAGTAGACTGCATATTGCAAAATACCTATGACCATCTAACTCCTGCTACTCATTGAAGACTAAATTCAGGGCACAGAAACTTACAAAGCTCTATTTGCATCTCTTGTTCGGGTAAAGGTTAAAAATAAACTTAGTTTTGAGGCCGAGAAACCCTTGCAGGAAGTTCTCTTTGGTTATGAACATTTATTTTTTTATAAAAGAGCTTAAGTAAACTGAAATCAATCTGAATTGCGTAAAAGAACGCACAAAGGTTCTGATTGTTTTAGTTAAGATACAATGGAACTATGAAATTAATTTCAAATGGCACAACTGTCTACCCACATATGGGCACTAGCCATGGGAAGCAGCTGGACTTGCTAACAATCCCTAAATTCAGTTTCTGGGCAAAAGCTGGCAAGGTGTCTACACTGAAAGCTACTGTACTATGGAATGGTTTTTTCTGCCCATTCACAGCTGATTTTGGGGGCAAGTTGTATCTCATTTCTTCCTGCAGCATTAAGGGGAAGTCTTTTATTTGCACACAGTACTTCTTTACAGTATCTGTGAAAGGCAAAAGTGAAGAATTTCCTTTTATTGATAACAAATATGAAATTTCCACACAGTCAGAGAAATTAATTACAACTGAATAGTAGTCATCAGTTTCCTTACAAAGGAACACATGCATTATGAGCTCATTTGACCATGGCACACCTCAAAAATTAATAATTTAATCAAGAAAAAAGGAATTAAATTATTAATATATTTTAACTGGAAAAAATAAAGCTTAAGTGAGCATACCTCAAATTCATATTTTACCTATAGTAATTATCACAAACTAATATAGATTAAATTAATGAAAAACACTTGAAATCAAGTTTGGACATTTTGCTTAGTTGAGAGTTAGGCTCAATAAATGTTCATATACAGAGCACTGTGATGGCACTGATGTGAAAACACACTCTCTTATCTCACAAATTAACAATAAAAATTCTTCATCAGGTTCAGGATGCAAAAATAATTTATCAGCTTTTGCTCACAAGAAAAGTCAGCTTCTATTCTTAATTTGTTTTTAAACAGCAAACAGAAAGGTGCCCATTAAAAAGGGTTCAATAAAAAAAGGCAAGCAGAGTGTAAAGTTCTTTAAAAAACAAAAATCAATGCTGTAGCACTACAGAAGCAAAGGTAGTAAAAAAAATAAGCAAGAACTTAGTAAAACATTACAATCACCAAGTTACTTCTATGCTACCTTATTACTTCAGCCAAGGAAGAACTGCTAAAGCAGTTGGCAAGTGAACTTTTAATTAAAAGTCCTGACAGTTTTGAAATAAGACTTAAAGGCACCCCTTTGGGAGGATGGGGGGTGAAGTACACCATAGTGATGGTAATTTTATATTTGATAAAGTCCGTAAAGTATCACAGAACACTGAAACAAAAAGCCTGCAAGACAACAAGCCTTACTCTACTGTTTTTGATCAGTGATCCGCTGTAAGCAGAGTTTCATGTAGGAATTTTTATTGCGTATTTCTATCACTGCATCTCTGACAAGCTCAATGAACATCTGAGGCCAGAGCTTCTGCAACGACTCATTCTTCATATTGATGTCAGCTGCTTCTTTCACTAAGTTCTCGACATACGTCTGGCAAAACGTTTTTTTTCCCTTGATTTCCTGCATGGGAGAACCCATAAGACAAAGGAAGAAAAAGGTTAAACAAGAACAAAGCCAACACACAAGCACAAAATTTTAATCAATTAAAGAACATAGCAATTAGCAGGGAAAAAGGCCATTGCACAGTTTTTCCTGTTGGTTTTAAACTGCACGGCCCAGGGTTTAAGTCAAGCTTTTATGAATACGGTCACAGAATCTTACTGTATTCCTAATACAAGTATTATATTCATTAATTTATCTGAAATCCCACTTTTAAGTAGTCATATAAATATCTTTCAACAGCATTACGATTTTTGTTGCCTTCTGGCACAGCAGTGAAAATATACAGAAATTATTAAGCATCAGACTATTTTTCCTTCCTTCTCTCCCTTCCCTGCTTTTCATGATTAGAGCACAACAGTTGGAAAGCATATATTTATCTACCTGTCCTAACAAGAACTAAGCACAGACAAAATATGCCAGCATGCATCTTCTCCTCAGGTTCCCTGAAGGACTCTGGCAAGTGCATGGTCATATCATTACTAAATATCTAACTAGTTTGATTTCTGACACTATTGGAAGTGTCAGGCCATGCTTCAGGCCATCAAAACAGAAGTTTTCTTAAATGACTGATAAAGCAGAGAAAATACTTTTCAGCTGTTTCACCTAAAGAAATTATTAATCAATGAATCAGACTGTCATCTTTAGCACTAAACTTATTCAATTGCATTTATTACATTAGTTTACTGCTGATGGGGAACTGGAATCAGTCTTTTTTGCCTATTGTACTCTCGTGACATCCTGTAATATCTGCTGCCACATACACAATGCACTAACAAAGGGTAAGGTGTGAATTGCTGCACTGTGAACAGAAAACAGTGCATATATTTAATGGACTGTACATTATAGTGCTTGTTCCAATAAAAGGACATGAGGAACGCCTCACTGTCTTACTCTGTGCCATTCAAAGTTTTAAGAGTTATTATCACAGCTTCTGAAACTAAAATGTTCTCTTAATTTCTCCGCACAG